GATATCGGAAGTATATCGTATCGACCGAAATTAAGAAATATATCGTGATATCAATTTTGGCCATATCGTCCAGTCCTAGGAGAGAAGAGCAAAATAAACAACATGAAATAAGAAGAGAGCAGCAGAGGCACAGAGAAGAGGTAAGGAGAGCAAAAGAGACGACATGAGATGAGAGGAGGCGAGATGAATCTACGACATGAAATGAGATGACAGCAGAAGAGACGAGACGAGACGAGACGAGACGAGACGAGACGAGATGAGAAGCTGCTGTACCATTGTCTGAAAGCAGGAGTGCAGTTGAGTGAGGAAGGGTGGTTTTCCTGACAAGGCCAACACTCTCTTCTCCACCATAGTGCATTCTACGTCATCATCCTGGATCACCACGTCCTTCTTCAGGATCTTTATTGCAAACAGCTCATCACCTGCCTTTCTCTCGGACAACATCACCTAAAAAAAGACAAACAGAGAGAGAGAGCGTGAAGGTAAGCAGGGATGTTCAGAGTTATGTCACCAAACACATAACTGAAGCATTTGAGTGAGCAAGCAGAAGGAGATGAGCAAAGCAACACTGTAACACAGCACATGAGCTTCATTTATTAGCAGAAGATACACTGGCCTTTGACTGCGGATCAATACAGCAGCGTTTATACTCATTCTTAGCATGTTTAGGGCATGTTAGGCCAGAGAACATAGCTGCAGTTGAGGTACAGATGATATAAAAGACAGAGAAATGATGGACAGAAGAGATGAAGCTCTCGCACACGTGAAGACAATAAGGAGCAGATTTGAGTGTGGCACAATGGCACGGTGAAGGAAATCTTGAGTGATGGGTGGGCAGATTTTAATTGTGCTCATTTTTAGGATTGAGCCTGAAGGCGCATGTACTGAAGAGAAAAGACAACCAGAGAGAGAGGGATAAAAAAAATGGAAGAAAAAAAAAAAGAGTGAGAAAGTTCAAAGAGCAATAGAAATGAGGGAAGATTAAATAAATAAGTGAGAGATTAATATCATAAACATTAAAAAGTATAAACATTTTAATATATATATAAAATTTATCCAACATACATTTTTATGACTCCAAAATGAGCAAGAAAGAAAAAAAAGATGTTACATGGTAAACATAAAACTCACCAGATAGACAACATTAAAACAATCAGAACAGAACGAAAAAGTAAAATTAATTGCACCATTATCACAAAATGTAAATAATGCCAATTAGCATATCAAATACTAAAACTAAAGCTAAGGTACAACGTAAATACACTGAAAAACAAAACTAAAACTAAATAATAAAGTGATAACATGAAAAAAATGTATTATAAAAATTACAATTAAAATAAAATTAAAAAATAAATTAATTAAAAAATCACAACTATAATTCCACTGAGCAGAGAACATTCAGAAACATTTTCTATAATATTGAGACGTCAATTAAAACATCTGTTACCATACAAACAGCTGAAACATAGATGACCTAGATGAATGAAATCAAACACTGATTTCAATCAATACCATTAAAAGGAAAACAAATACAACATTTCAATTCAAATCAATTTCATTGATTTACTAGTTACATTACATTACATCCATATGCAAACGAAGTAATTTTTTTTTCAGTAGCATGACAGTAGTGTAACCATTTTCAAAACTGTGTATCTTTTCCAATAACAAGCTACATTTTTTCAATGAGTGGCAGCGTAGCACGACAAGGCAGTAAACAAACACGCTCTTCTAAAATATCCTCTCTCTCTCATATATGTAGTGCCAGAAAATCAGATTCTTTGCAGTGAATTTGTTCATGTAAATAAACCAATTCAAAAAAATTATTAACCAATTTGAGTTCCTATGTAGCGTTTTAGGGTGTTTTTTTATATACAGCAATTTTATGTTTTTCAGGTTGTGGAAAGAGTAGCTTGACTGTAGCATAACTATTTATGTGTATCTTGTAGTTTGGAAAGCTACATATTCATATTAGCTCCCCGACACTTTTATGCGTGTGTGATGAATTTAAACCCAATCCAATATGCCTGACACAGCCACAGTACTTCTTGTCACCAAACCAATAGCGCTTCATCAGTGTGTGAAAGCATCTCTCAAATACCTTCCCTCATTCTGCGGCAAGGTCACATAGAGAAAAACCTGACAGAGGAAAAGTAATGCTTGAAGAAACTTTACAGACAGTCTGGCTCTGCCATTTAGCTCTCTCTTGAAAATAAATGCACATATTGAAATGAGCAGAGTTATTTCAGTGTAAAGGCAGCCCCAGATGGACACCTTGTGACTGGCAATGGGAAAAGAGAAGCGATACACTTCAACATTACAGAGGACACCATCTGCTCCTCACAGGCCCTACACCCTAACACACACACACACACAGACACACACACACACACACACACACACACACACACACACTACTCAGTCATTCATGATCTGCTTCAACCCCATAATCACACAACTGGACTTGTGAAAGTGCACATCTGTCAGCTTTTGAAGCTCCCTCTACTGAAGGCTCATCATCATGGAATCTACAGTATTTTTGACAAAGTGCCATTTTTTTAAATCACTGGGCAATATCAACACTGTCAGTCCCCCATTTACTATTCTAAAATATATTTTTTAACATATTAAAATATATTTTCTTAGCATCTTTCTCTTTTTAGTTCCAATAAATTGCGATGGGTTAGCCTAAATAAACTCAATAAGCAGACAGACGACAGTCAAGCGCAGACCAGTATTGTAGTGCACAGGAAATAAGCAGCAGTCATATTTAAAGCAGTTTAAATTAAATAGTACTGATTGATGTTCACTTGGATTTTTTCCCCATCGAGGGGAAATAACTTAATACTCTGTCAGTTATAGTCGTCATATGGTAAAATGCATTTTTATTTGTGTAACGTTACGTTCAAAATAACTACAAAATGTGTTTTTTGGAAAAAAACAAAAAAAAACGAAAAAGGAGCCATTTTCTCATTTTTCTACTTTCAATATTAAATCAAAAAACGAATGATCGAATGATACATGGATTCTTCTATAGTATCTTTTTCATACTATGGAAGTCAGTGGCCACCAGCAACAGTTTGGTTACCAACATTCTTCAAAATATCTTCTTTTGTGTTCAACAGAAGAAAGAAACTCATAAAGGTTTGGAACAACTTGAGGGTGCGTGAATAAATTAATTATCAATTTTTTGGGTGAGCTAGCCCTTTAAGTTCAAATTTCCTCAGTCAATTGTAAAATTGTCTTTTTTTAAAGTGACAATATAACAGAAGTAAAAACAACGAGTAATGGCATTTTGATTAAACATTAAAACCTCAAAAATTATCTTAAAAGATGAAGCATGAATGGATGAACCATTCACAATAATATCTATAGCATGCATTTAGAAAATAGATTTTCATTTCATGCTGTCTTTAAACCTCACTTCATTTTTTTATCTCTAAAAAAACTTCTGCCAATCGTAAGGCTTATCTTTTAAAGTTTTCCTGTTCATTTTCAAACAGACATAATTGAACAATTACTTATGATTCAGTGAGAGAGTCAGAAGTGACGATTCACTGACTGATGGAGTCTGATTCAAACTGATAACTCACAGGCAAGTTTAAGGCGGTTTCTTGAATATTTTTGACTGCCTCATTAGAAAGAACTGCTTCATAAGAGTCTTTTTTGTTTTTTTCCTAAAATCAAACATCACAGCTCGTGCTGTGCTTACTGTTGCCTACACCGGAATGAGGTAAGAAATCAAGGTCTTAATATCACATGCTTTTATCCAAAAATACGTGCTTAATGTTTTAAGGATCTGTAGAAATTTTTACTGGAAAACAAATACTGATTAAATCACTATTTGTTTTAAGTTCTGGCTGACTTCAGCACTGTCTTTGCTCTCTGAACACAAATCTATGAGATTGCAGAGAACCTCAGAGTCACGTACAGACATTTGTGTGTGACGTTTGGTAGCCTCTGAGAATGAAGATGCAGCACCGAACTGGACGGGTCAGTCTGTCAGATGCAACAGTGAGGCTGACATTTCATTTGTCGTGATGTGGACGACATCAAACAGTCTCGGCTAATGATGCTGGCAGAGGTCTAGCACTACACCTCAACATATCAATATCATTTTAAAATCCTGTTGCCATGGCAACTGGCAGCAGCTGGAACATGAGCCCACTCACCCTCCTATTTCCCCTCTCTCTGTCTTTTAGCCTGCGTTTCAGTAATCTTGTGCCACAAGTTTGTTAAAATTTCCAAAGGGTGTCGCGACTAAAAAAAGGTTGGGAAACACTGGTTTAGAGTGACCTCACAGCTCGAGATTACCTGCTGCTTCAAGCACCAGTGAGCCTACCTGAGACACATAGAGAGACAGAGAGAGAGAGCGAAAGAAGAGGGCGAGAGTTACCTTTCCAAAGCTACCCTTGCCCAACACCATGAGAAAATTGAAGTCGGACAGTTTCATGCGGTCCCGGTTGCCATTGCTGTCAAATTTGGAGATGGTGTTGGAGGAAGAGCCGTCTGTTTTGTTGGGACCAATTTTAGCTCTCTGCAGGGAAAGAGCAAAAAGAAACAATAAGCTCGTGTTAGAGTGGGGTCAGAGACAACACAGACACACACGTTTGTTTTTCTAGCACGGTGGTGACTTTCATTTGACTTCTATTGTTTTTATACTGAGCTAATGATATTTTCTTTCCCCTACTCCTAAAACCAACATTACAGAAACCTACACTCTCAGACAAAAAAACAAGTACAGAAGCTGTCCCTGGGGCAGTAGCCTTTCAAAAGGCACTAATATGTACCATTCAGGTACTAATATGTACACGTTACATACTAACATGCATATTTATAGTACTAATATGCACCCTTTAACGGTAAATAAGGTACAAAGGTTTACCTTTTGAAAGGGTATTGCCCCTGTGAAAGCTTTAGTATCTTTTTTTCTGAGAGTGTAGAGACACACCAATATTAAAATTCCAGCTTGCATTTTTTGCAATAAGCTGATAATTATTTTCACGTTACGGCTGTAAACAGATAAAGGGCAATATTAAAATACTGTACTATATTGTCTAAATAAATAAACACATTAATGGCTACGTAAAAGCAAGTAAATTTAGGCATCACAACTTTACAATATTCAGTATGAGAAATGTATATTCATTTTGATTACATTTAATAGTGTTATTAAATGATTAAATGTGTTAAAAAAAAATTATTAGTATTTTTACATTTGGATTACATTTACCTTTTAATAAGCATTACATGACAGCAAATGTAATCTAAATGTAAAAATAGGAGTAATGAGTATGTCATTAAATATATAAGATTAACCAATGCCGATAAATAAAAAAAATCTCGAATATTAGCCAATAATTAATATGTGACCCTGGACCACAAAACCAGTCTTAAGTCGCTGAGGGTATATTTTTAGCAATAGCCAAAAAAACATTGTATGGGTCAAAATTATCGATTTTTCTTTTATGGCAAAAATCATTAGGATATTAAGTAAAGATTACGTTCCATGAAGATATTTTGTACATTTCCTACCGTAAATATATCAAAACGTACTTTTTGATTAGTAATATGCATTGCTAAGAACTTAATTTGGACAACTTTAAAGGCGATTTTCTCAGTATTTAGATTTTTTTGCACCCTCAGATTCCAGATTTTCAAATAGTTGTATCTCGGCCAAATATTGTCCTATCATAACATAACCATACATCAATGGAAAGCTTATTTATTCAGCTTTCAGATGATGTATAAATCTCAATTTTAAAAAATTGATCCTTATCACTGGTTTTGTGGTCCAGGGTCACATATAATATACTATTCAGCCCTAAAATATACATGCATTTAAAATAAAAAAGACCAAAAATGTTGATATATGCATATCTAATATTGACAATACTAATAAAATAAAAATATATAATATTGGCTTACTGTGGTACACATATATTGCGCCAATTTGTACATACAAAGTATTTTTGGGTGCATAGATTCAGTTAACAAAGCATGACAAGTTAGACATATTACACATACAGTATATTGTGCATCCATACAGAAACTTGTTAGCATTTTTAGATGTTCATCATGACGTTTACTGTTTAATAAAAGCTAAGCACATTCTCCATGACTCAAGCTAATGGCCTTCATTTTTAGTCTTTAACTAGCTGACAGCGACAACTAAGCCTCAACATTACTGCAGCATTTGCACTTGTGAAACAAGCTTCAAACTTTGAAATCTAGCCATCTTGTCTTCATATATGCACACTTTCTTAGAGCAGCAATGAGGAAAGACCAATGAAATAGTGAAAGAGCAAAAGAGTGCAAGTATACAGTGGGGAATTGGAAAGCATGAGCAAATACAAACATAACTGCTCCATATGTCTATCTAAGCACCATCACATCTATATTTCTAGACTTTTTCTTATTTTCCTCCAATCGTTTGCTGGTCTACACGATGTAGGTGATTTCAGGGTTTACTATCCTTGTGGGGACATTTATGGGCTTCTCGATGTAGACAGGACCTGGCCCACACACATACAAACATACGAATGAGCCACAGCCTGGCATGACTGACATCTCTTGTTTGTTTCTCTCTGTTGATGTTACTGAATTTCTTAAGCAGGTCTATTCATCACATCCCAGCTAAATCTTTCAAACACACGATTCAGCAAACGTTGGGTAAACCTGTCACCCAGACTGCAGATGAAGCCATTTTTGACTATTGTGTGCGCGTGTGAAAAAGACAGCATGTATCTATAATAGAAAGAGAGATATTAAATATGTCTTTGGCAGCATTTGTAAAACAGCTCTAAAGTGTTTGTTAGACACAGAGGAAGTGGGTGTGTGTCAGTTAAACTGTAGTGGTTTGTGTGTGCGTATCTCTCGCTCTCTCTAGGTGAACGTTTAGTTTCTGGCAAGGATCTCACTGCCCAAGCTGGCATGCTACGAAATGACAGACGGCCTGTGTAAATGTCTGTGGTTCCGTGTGTGTGCGGTGACAGGGCACAGTCATTAGGTCCCGTCGGCTGCAGGCTGAGGGGAAGTGTAGGGGAAAAACACATGCTGTAGTGTTATGTTTCTAAGGTAGGATGCTGGTAGTTAAATCACATCTTTAATCTAAAACATTTTTCATCACATCACTCTCTCGCACGCATGCACGCACGCGCACACACACACACACACACACACACACACACACACACACTGTCTCACACAAATACACTAAAAGCTTTTCTCATTCACAACACGTTTGCACAGCACTTGGGCTGACACGCAAAACACAACAGTGCGTCAAGATTCCTCACTTACTTTGCTTTTTATGCACTGCAGACACTATTTTAACTGGTATCTCTCGTTTTCCTACTCTAAATATATTTAAACATACTTAAAACAAGATACATTTATTTGTAAATATATATATATATATATATATATACACACACTGTATATGTAACGTTTTATTTGAATAGTTATATATATATATATATACAGTGGGTACGGAAAGTATTCAGACCCCCTTAAATTTTTCACTCTTTGTTATATTGCAG